TTTATTATTTGTTTATTTAGTATAGAATTATTAAGAATATATTTAGAATAGTTTGATTTTATTTTTCTGTTTCACGAATATATTATTTTTAAGATATAAATAAAATAAATTATTGAATAAATTAATTAAATATAAATAATCTTCCTAGTAAAATAAAATCTACAATTTTTATGTTTATGAGATATCCATTAAATTTATTGTATTCTTCATGTAAATTTAGAACTATATCATGTGATGATATTACTCATTTTGATTAGTTATTATATTAGTATGATAAATATCATACGTTTAATCATACTATAGAGTTAGGAAAAGATTTCTTGACTATTAGTATGATTGATATTATGTTGAAATGAAATATCATATTATCGAGATATTTTTTGTAAAGACTTAATAAGTTATTTAGAAAATATGATGAGAAGGTAATAAAATTATATTTTAGTATTGATATAATTATAAATTAAAATGCTTCTTAATGATATTTAACAAGAGTTAAAATATACTGCTATTTATTAAATAAAGGAAATGAATTATACAAAGATAATTTAAACATAAGGAGAAACAATTGTGATCTGTTTTACTTAATAGAAAAAGGTACAGATGAAGAAAAATATAATTAGATAATTGAGTTAATAACAAACTTTAAGTTTATTCTATTTCTAATGTCTCCAATATTAGAAAATGATTGTAAATTTATTACTTGTCAATATAAAAATAGATACAAAATCAGTAAATATATAAACTTTATAGGAAGAATACTTGCTTTGCAAATGGAATTAGTAAAAATATAGAGGCAAAATAGATTTACCAATATCAGAGAGGTTTTAGTTAATTATGTTATTCCTAGTATCTTTATATTAAATTATAGTTACTCTGGTATATTAAATAAAAAATATCTTGTAAAGCAAGTAGAAAAATATGTAAAGCAAGGATTTGAATTAAATTATAAAGTTTTAGTAAAGTGTCTTGGTTTATTTCATAGTCCTGACTATGTTCAAGTAAGAATACATAATTTGAATATTGTTTTTAACATATTTAAAAAACTCATGAAATCAATTTTATTTAATGAGATTATCAAAGAGATCATAAAAATTCAAGACGATTTTAATGATTATATATTCTTTAAATTTCTGAAAAAGAAATATTATGATAAGAAAAT